AATTAAGAATACTCCCTTGAACTATGTTTCTGCCTTACACAGTATACACCATTTGAGATTGTACGGTGAGTACAAAACAAGAGGAGAGATTTGTAATTTTGATGAGAACTTAGTTTGTTTTTTGGGTGTGCAATTTAAAGTAGTACTTTGAGGGAGTTTTGTGATCATCCCTAGGTATATGTCAAAATTTATTTTAAAACTCTCTGGCGGAGCAGGAAATGAATTTTAGTTTCAATTTTCGGGTTTTATTTCACTTTACTTCATTTCATGTATTTGAACTTTATAGGGTATCTTTCTGGGGTTTTTAGTTTTTTCAACAGTTTTACTCTTGTTTATTTTTGTCTTTGAGAGTTAGTATTTATAGGTAATCTTTTAGTTCCTATTTTAATTTTACGTTTGAGCTTTAGGGGACCGCATGATTCTATTATCAAACCACAACAAAATATCGTAATTATCAACACATGCAGAAGCACCGGTCCAAGAGCTGTAAACATAATCTTCTAGTTTATTTTTTTTTTTTTTTAAAAAGATATTGAGCTTTAGGGGACCGCAAAATACAACATGCAGAAATACCTGACCAAGAACTGTTAAAATCAAGGAGTCGCCAATTGCGAACCACTCATCGCTTATGCCAAACTTCCGATTCAATCCAGTGACAAGGAAAACCTAAAAGATAAGGATGTCCACTTCAAATGCAAAATACAAAATGAAGAAGACACAAATAATCCAAATTGGCTATGAAGGGGCATGGAACCATACTTGAGTCATCCCAAGAACTGAACCGATAACAGTAGTCACCAGAAATATCTTCCTCAAACGAACACCTTTCAAGAACCCGTTATAAAACCCAACACCAACCAGTGACGCAATGGAAGTCACAAGTTTCACGCGTCCTAGAAACTCAGGGGTAAATCCAAGTTTATTTGTACTGCAAATGAAAAAATTCTAGAAATTGTCACAAAGTAGACCGGAAAGAATAATTACAGAGTATGGATACTTCCAAAGAGTAGCATTGAGCTTTTACATGATTAAGNGGAAAACAAGAAAAAAAGAAAAAGCTAATGTTTAAAATTTTAATAATAAAAAAAGAAAAAGCTAAATATAATATTTTTATACATATGGGGTTTCTAAAATATTTTGTGCACTTAAAAATCATAAAGAGAGAGAGATTGTTGTTCTGTAATTGGGTCAAACTCAAGGTACTTTTTGTAATTCATCTATCACGTACCAAATTAAAGATCAACCTACATGAAATAAAACATGGCAGAATCAGACTGTGGTGTTGCTTGCCACAAGAAGATAAATAAGGTAGGCAGAAACACATTGGGTTGCTTTACGGCATCCCATAATTGAAGTAAGCTATTTTTCGAGCTTCCTAAACAGGCAGTAGAGTCCGACAAAATAAGTCCTCTTGCCGAGCCATGGAGTGGCTGTTCTTTCACAAGGACCGCAACAGCAGATGTTATTAAGGGAAGCAAAGCTGTTAATCCAAAGACAAATCTGCAAATATTAAGAAGTTCAGGAGTTGAATTTATGCAAAAACTTGTGCTTTTAGAGGAAATCATTAACCAGAAGGGAAGAGTAGCCTGTGAAAACACATGCTTGGTAATTTGAAATAATTTTGAGTTTCGGCTCTTATATAAATGATGTCAAGAACTCTGGCAAAACTAGAGATCAAATCATCAGTGGAATCAGAATGTATAGCACACCTACGGCAGCCCTACAACAAGAGTTTGATTACATTATGTAAAACAAGGAGCAGATTCTTGTTTTAAAATAATAAAAGAAATAAGCATGTTTACCAAATTGTATTCAACTCGCATATTCCAATTTTCATCTTTCTTCTGGTAAATGAAATTATGTTCATTTTAGAGTTTTTAGTGAAAATGCAATCCTCCCAGTTTCAACATTTTAATGGAAAGTGGAAATTTTGACAACTTACCAAATAAATCGTCATTATCTTCACCCAAATTTATAACAAATTTGCTCTAAATTATTTGAATCTTTGTTGACAATAGAAACATTCACACTTGTAAAAATATATTCATTTTCCACACGAAAATCAAGAAAAAATACCAAACACATTTTCCGTTCATTCTTCTGCCACTAGAGATTGAAACTTGTAGTAAAACTCCATACAGCTCCTATCATTTAAGTTGCCCCAAACAAAAAGAATATAATCACTTTTTTAAGAGTGTTGCATAACTAAAATCAGAATAGATAAAAAAGAAGAAATATTGTAGACTATTTCACTTACCTCACACCATAAGCACCCACCAAGGAGCCACTGAAGTAGGAGCTTACAATCCCACCAAAAGCAGAAGAACCCCAGCATAAAGACTGAAGTGAACCAGACACAGTTTGTGATTCACCACGCGCCCTCTCCACAACCATAGAGTCGACAACCTGTACGTACGCTTTATCTCAACAGGTTAGCTAGAAGACGTAAAAATAAAATAAACAAATACAGAATAACTAGGGTTTTACCAGACTGTTTTTTCTAAAGCACTTGTACTAGAATTTTTTGAAAGCAGACTTAAGATGAATACTGAACAGGAATCATTAGCTCAATGAGAGTCTTGTTTTTGCACGGCTGAAGTAAGTCGTACTGTTTGGAACTAAATACAGAACATGGACGCACGTTCAAACTAGACATCCCAATGGAAAAATTGAGAGTAAAGTAAAACCCTACTCATAGAGAATATTTCCATGTTTTGAAAATAGTTAATATAAACTGAACTGAATGAACTAATAGAGAGTGGATTTAAATAAACTCTGTTGTAAACAATATATTTTCAGATGCCTACCAACAAATCTAATCAGCAACATTGCTATTCAACGGAGATGAGAAACTTATTGACAAATATCATACAATCATATTAACTGACTTATCAGGAAACATGCTCATCAAAATAATTGAGATTTCAGAAAGAAAGCATGCCCACCTGATGCATTCATAAATTACAGTAGCAACTAAAGCATGCCTATGCATTATGTTCATAAATTACAGTAATAAGCACTTACTACATCAGAAAATGCTACTGAGAGAGATCCTAGAAGTATGCAAAAGGCAACACCATACTTGCTGTCGACAATGGTAGCCATCAAACTCCATGAGAAAGCTCCTAAGAGTCCAGACAATACCAAATATGACCTCCTTCGATAGCCACAGAGTGGGAAGGAATCACTGGTTTAACATTCATAGTTAGTTACAGAAAATTTTAATCCTATAAAAGGTCAAGGATAAACTGAACAAAATATTCAAGTTTACAATTGGACATTTTCGGCACTTAAAAATAATGATGTAAATAAATAAAAACGAAATTAAAGATTAAGAAATAAAAAAATGAGAAGCTGGGATGCACCTGATGAACCCATACAATGGTTTGACAAGCCAAGGTAAAGACGATACACCAGATATGATGGCTGTCTAGTCAACCACAAAGAATTGTAGGTTCTGTAAGTGTTTTTTCAGAAAACAAAAGAAAATAAGAAATGAAAGAAAACGAAGAAAACAGAAAGCAAAATTAACTTTCTTGTTTAAAGTATACTAAGCCAGTTATCATTCATAATTTAATAACGTAACATGCTCATTTACTTCAATTGTTACTCTCAAATACTTGTACAATGAAATGAGCTAACCTATAGAATATAGAGTGAATAATGAGCTAAAATACTGAGGGCATAGTGAATGTAATATCACAAGGGTATCCTTAATCACTCAAAGTACAAATTGATGGTAAACATAAATTAAAGCACATGCACATGACCTTATCCATCTGTTTAATAAAAATTGATCTACTTGAACAATATCATATAATATGATCTTTATGAAATTTTTGTTATCAAATATGTTGGTAATCTGGATGCTATTTAGAGATGAACTGGTTAATTAACACTAGGCCTGTGCTCTTCATTTAGCCTAAAACAGGTGAGATCTCCAGACTGTCGTATGTAAACCTAATAAAATGCATATCTATACCTCTGCAGGATCGAGATGCAGTTCATCTTTCAAATAGAAATTGACTGCTAGCCTGGATAGGCCCAAAACCCCTTGAACAAAATACACCATGGCTACAGCAATTGTATCTGGAGTTAATTGAACGCCAAAGCAACTGATAGACTTCATAGAATATCTTCTCTTGTGACATGCAGGCTTGTTGAATGAGGCAGCATCTTCATCCTCTTTGACAAATAACAACGCATGAAGGACCATAAATAAATTAGGAGACAGTATCTTATCCCCTTTCTCAAGAATGCAAGCGAAAACTAAATTGTATTAATTTATACAAGAGCTTCAACACTGGATTCTGTTAAAACCTCAAGGACGTGTATATTTCCACTGAGTGTATCTTCCACTACGTAGAATAATTAATGGCCATGAGATTTTAATGACTTGTTTATTTCATTTCAAAAACTCACCATAGCAAAATTAAAAGCATAGCATCTCTGCTAATTGTGGTATGATGCATGTACTCAGAGGTCTGAACACCTACCAAATTAAGGATGGGCGATAAAGAAGCTGAATTAGCAATTTGATAAATAGGGTTACACAGAATAAATTATATAGACATGTAACACGATCCTGTCGTCTATGTCAAATTCCCCCTTTACATCTCAGTCACAACAACGAAAATCAAAATTCAAAGACGAAAGGGAAATGGAATAGATTTACGATTTCTGGTAGCCAACAGAGGATCAGAGTCGGAATCGCGTCGGAGGGAGGTGGATGGAACTGAGACGGAGATAGACATTTTTGAGCGCGGAAGCAGGCGATCGTCTGAATCGGCGGCGGATGACGGACGGCCGGTGGCAATTAAACACGGACAAAAGAAAAAAAATATCGAACCAAAACTGATGGGGCAGAAGTAATTGGGCTCTTCTACGATGTTTAAAAGCTGCTCTTCTCTCTCAACGCTAGTGCCTCCCACTCGATATTGCCATTGGCCCAATTTCATAGCTCACTCACATGAATCTGATCTAATATAAAGCTCCAAATTAATCAGCGACATTTGACCAACACGTAAGCTCATCTCCCAATTCTTGTCTATAAAGTCCAATTCTCATCTCTACTTTATAGACTTTAAAGTAGAGAAAACAAAGAAAAGTAGAGTAAAAAAAGAAAAACAAATCAACTTCAAAAAGTAATGATGAAACATACAGTATAGAATAGAAAGTAGCCAAAGTGAAGACTTGGGAGAGAAACCGCCATTTTTGTATAGAGAAGATATTTTGGGAATTTTGTATTATGATCTCATATTTCACAAGGTTCACAATGCAATGCATTGAGGTACATATAGAGCTCATAGCTCGTGTTCTAGACGACGAGGGCAAAATAGTCCTTTCACATAATAAACGAAAACGTGAGCTAACAATTTCCCTCTTCAAGTGGAATAGGGGAGTAGACACGCATTCCCAACTTGCACAGAAATGAATGAAACTCTAGACCACCAAGAGATTTGGTGAATAAATCTGTTAGTGAGAATAGGTTAATATCTTGGGGAAGTGGAATGATCACAAGTATAGAACTCTTTAGTCCTATGTGGTATATGATATCCAAAATGTATTTCTTTTGACAGAGGAAAGTCCCTTGACTAGTTATTATGAATTCAAGCCCCAAGAAATATTTAGCAACTCCTAAATGCTTGATGGTAAACAAGTTATGCAGTTATGTTTTCAGTGACTCAATATCTGAAACATAAGTTCCTGTGATCATCACACATCATCAACATAGATTAATAGGGCTAAAAACTAGTCAACATCTCTTTCGATGAAAAGGCAATTGTCATTCTTTGATTGGATAAAGCCATAGGAAATCAACTTGTCTTAAAACTCTATGTTCCACTGTCTTTGAAGCCTGTTTTAAACTATACAGACTCTTTTGTAACAGACATACTTCATTCCTTTTAGCTTTTGTGTATCCTTTAGATGGCATCATGTAAACTTCCTCTTCCCAGTATCCATGCACAAATGCATTATTGATGTCAATATGGTAAACTTCCCACCCTTTATGAGTTGCTAAGGCAAGCAAAAACCTCACTGAGACCATTTTTGCCACTGGTGAAAAAATTTCAAAGAAATCAACTTCCTCCTTTTGCAAATATCCTTTATCCACAAGTCTTGCCTTGAATTTGTCTATGGTGCCATCTATGTTTCTCTTGATCTTATAAACTCATTTAGAACCTATAACACTCTTTCCCTTTGGTAGAGGAGTCAAAGTCCAAGTATTATTCATTCCCAAAGCCTCAAGTTCTTTGTTCATAGCATCTACCTAATTCTGTTGTTTAACATTGTGTTCAAAAAATAGGTTCACTAATAGATCTGTCAATTTCAGCTAGAAAGGAACAAATCTTCTTGTCAAGCTTATAATGCATAACCATATCTGCTACTGTCAGGTTCTATTAGGAACGACAACAACATGCACGTTTTGAAATTTGGAAAAATAAACCCTAACGCAGTGGAATCTATAGTTAGGGTTTGGATATTAACGTTTAAAATTTTTGCCGACTCAGAGAAATTTCTGATTTCCTTTGATAGAGATCGTCTGATTACCACAACTCAATCGGTTGAAGGGTTTGGCCTTTGTCGACTCTAGTCGAGTGTTGAATCATGAACGGATCACCGCATCGAGCTCGTCGGGCTCGGGTCGAACCAGTCGGATCTCAAGTCTAGTCATGTCTCGGTTGGGTCAGGCTCATGCGGTTCGCGGACCGGCGGACTAGACGAGCGGGCAGAGGTGGCGTGCGCGTGCGGGTCGCGCGCTGCGGCTTTCTTACGCCTGGGTGGACTGGCGCTCGGGCGTGCTGGGCAAGGCAGGGGCGCGACAAACTCGGCCATGAGTGTTGGGTTCGCCTATACCGTACGGGTGATTTACACCTATTTATATTAAAACATTTAGATCACAAGATGTAATATTGTATTTTTAAAATTATTATTTTATTCAAATTAGATGGCATCTAGATCTAAAGTGATTTTAATAAAAAAAATATCATTAGATCCCATCTAATAATATTGTATTTATTATTTTAATCTTTAATCAAATTAAAGATTAAGTATTATGATCAAAACATGTTATTTCACATATTTATAAAATCTCCTCTTATTATAATCATATTATAATATGGATTTGAATTTTAAAATCTAATTTTAAAATCCAACTATTAATTTAGTAATTCCATTAATTACTTAATTAATATCCAAAATATAATTAATCAATCAAATTGATTAATTTAGTATATTTCTTTAATTGATATCTAATCAAAATTAGAATTAATTAAATAATCAAATTATATAATTAATACTTATCAATTAATTCTAACTCTTTAGAAATACTAATTTCAAATGATCTACATTTAAAATTGGGTGTGACCTTTTAGGTTCACTATTAATACTAGTAGTGGGTTTACAACTTTTTGTAATTTGAATTAATCTTATTAATTCTTATTCATGAAATTAACTCCTTAATTTCAAGAACCCACATATCATGGGAACATCTAGCAAGTAGCATGAATCTAGTATTAAGTGAATAGTGAGTAAACCTTTTCGATTACAAGTCCATACATGTAAAATTCTTTCGACATCCAATTTCCCGATTAAATCTTGGGTATGGTTTTATAAGTCGAACCCAATTGATTTAATAACTATGATTCCATTTCAAGTTTAGTAATTCGTGTATGAATCTCTATTCATCCCGCCTTGGCCAAGGACTTTGAATTACAAACTATAAAACACATAGGAAATTCACTTATCACATAAGTGTCGAATCCTTTGTTAGCCACTGACAAACCTTCATACAAATTAATACAATACCGAAAATATCCCTTTATACGATTGTGCTAGCAACCAAAAGGATAAATCAAAGTAAAGTATAACATGCACAAGATTACCATCGTGCCTCAAGTCATAGGATCAATCATGTACTATTGTAACATGAAAATTCTTATTCGACAGAAAAACTTTCATTAAGAATTTTCATACGGTCATGTTCAGTGAACTTGTTCTCTAACAAGTACCAACATATATGAATTTGCGTCCCACGCTAATGTTGATGGAATGCAACATTCTTGACCATCAAGCATTCATCATATGTACAAGTCTTTCCGGATTATTCGATATCCCATCTCGAAATATCCAATGACTTGGAACTGTTTTTAAGCTCACAGCTTTTAAGATATGTTCCATGATCACCATCTCTATGCGCAACCATACCTCATAGCTATAAGTGATCTAGGGACTTTATCATATGTGCAAATATAGGATAAATGCTAATACATAAGATAAATTAATGCCTATTTATTAATATACCAATAGATTGTATTTACAAGTAGAATATGTCCAATCTGATTGGAACGCCGGGTATTCTACTCTAACAATCTCTCACTTACCCTAGTTTCAATCACTCATGTATCTTAGACCCATCTTCTCAAGATGTCCTTCGAACACTTTCTGTGATAAGGGCTTAGTTAAGGGATCTGCTATATTTTCTGCTGAGTCGACTCGCTCCATTACGATGTCACCACTACCAATGATTTCTCTAATCAAATGGTATCGTCTCATAATGTGTTTGGATCTTTGATGAGATCTTGGTTCCAATGCTTGCGCAATGGCCCCATTGTTATCACAATATATTATTATTGGATCAACAACAGATGGTACTACACCCAACCCTTGGATGAAATTCCTTATCCAAACATCTTCTTTTGCAGCATCTGATGCAGCAATATATTCAGCCTCTGTTGTAGAGTCAGCAATCGTTTCTTGTTTGGAACTTTTCCAACTAACTGCTGCTCCATTCAAAGTGAATAAGTATCCAGACAAGGATTTAGAGTCGTCTTTATCGGACTGAAAACCAGAATCAGTAAAGCCTTCTAGTTTCAGTTCTCCATTGCCGTATATCATAAAGATATCCTTAGTCCTTCTCAAGTACTTAAAAATCATCTTAACGGCTTTCCAGTGTTCTTCACCTGGATTAGACTGATATCTGCTCGTTACACTAAGTGCATGAGCCACATCAGGTCTTGTACATAACATGGCATACATAATACTACCAATAGTTGATGCATAAGGTATATGACTCATCCGTTCTCTTTCTTCAGGTGTCTTTGGAGACATCGTTTTAGAAAGTGAAACCCCATGACTCATTGGAATATATCCTCGTTTGGATTCCTCCATGCTAAATCGTTTTAGCACCTTATTTATGTACATAGACTGGGATAGTCCGATCATCCTTTTAAATCTATCTCTATAGATTTTTATCCCTAGGATAAAAGACGCTTCTCCCAAGTCTTTCATGGAAAATTGTTTTGACAACCATGTCCGTGTTGAATGCAACATTCCTTACATCATTCCCAATGAGTAGAATGCCATCAACATAGAGTACAACAAATGCAACTGCATTCCCACTAACCTTTCTATAAACACATGGTTCGTCCGGATTCTTATGAAAATCAAACGTTTTGATCGTTTCATCAAACTGGATGTTCCAACTCCTTGAAGCTTGTTTAAGTCCATAAATAGATCTTTGAAGTTTACAAACCATTTGTTCACTCCCACTGGATATGAAACCCTGTGGTTGTTTCATATAAATGTCTTCCTTAATGTTTTCATTAAGAAAAGCAGTTTTCACATCCATTTGCCATATCTCGTAGTCATAATACGCAGCTATGGCTAATAGTATCCGAATGGATTTAAGCATTGCTACTGGTGAAAAAGTTTCCTCATAATCAACACCTTGTTTTTGAGTATAACCTTTTGCAACTAGTCTTGCTTTAAAAGTATTAACTTCTCCATCTACCCCAAGCTTTCGCTTATAAACCCACTTACAGCCAATGGGTACAATACCCTCTGGTGGATCTACCAAGGTTCATACCTTGTTTAAGTACATGGATTCCATTTCAGATTGCATTGCTTCTTGCCATTTATCTGAGTCAATGTCCAACACTGCCTCATCATAGCTTATTGGATCATTATCCAAAAGGAATCCCTCTTCGTTGTTCTTTAACAATAGGTACAGCCTTTCAGGCGCCTTAGAAACCCTTTCAGATCTCTGAAGAGGTTGTGTTTCAGATGGCCCAGTCTCCACTGGTATGTTATCTGTGGTACTTTGTGGAATTTCTTGTGGTTCTTCATTAAGTTCTACAACTCTACTATTCTTTGAGAGAAACTCTTCCTCTAAGAAAACAGCATTCCTCGAAACAAACACTTTTTGTTCAGTAGGGTCATAGAAATAGTATTCTATAGACTCT